AAACAACGTTCAAATAGATAACTATAAAAATATTAAAGATTGTTACCATGATGTTGCAATAGTTCAATAATACATGCATACATAAATCTATATATAATACTACCGTGATGGACGACAATCTCAATACAAATGAGTAAACTAAACATGAGATTGTAGTCTATCACAGGTGAGAGCTTGGAGCGGTGGCTACTTTACAACACACACAGGGACCATGGGGAACAAAAGTAGGACAGTGTCAGCACCAATTCAGAGATGATTTGAGGATCTAGAGCCGACTGATGCACGAATAAGTTATATTTTTGTTAATAGTTAAGGTCCTTGAATGCATGTTTAAGATTTATTTCCTGAGTTTAGTGCCACGTTAAATTAATATACAAGTGTACAATATGTGTTTTATTGAGGCATTTGAAAAATATTAAATTTACATGCATTACCTGAACTGAAACTTTACCTGTAGGCAATTGGTTGTGGCTTGAAAAAAAAAAAATAAAGCAACTGTTGGGAAAGTGTTACCTAATCAGTGCTGGAAATATAAATACTTCCAAAGGTATTGACTGTGATACTGTTCAAGGCAAAATAAAATATTGGCCTGCAGCCTGGGAAACGATTTAATCTTTTCAGGAAGAATGACCTAGCCAGTTGGTTTTAAATTACTCTTCAATCTTTGTGAAAACGTTTCTCTGTCTCGTGTTCTCTGTAGTTTTTCAGGCTGTATAAAAGATCGAAATTAAAATAACTCCTGAGTAAAATCAGCACTAAAAATAATTTACAGTTTACTAGGTTTACTGCGCGTTATGTATTTGCTGAAATTGGCATTTATTAGGAGAGATTAGATACAATGTGCAAGGACAGCAGGGTGCCATTCAATAGCTTAAAGCCTTACGGACTACTAGATGTTTTATTAAGTGTAGTGTATTGTAATTGTTAATCATGATTGTTTTTTATTTAAAAAAAACTAGTATATGTAAACCCAATTACTACAATCTCATATAAGTTATAAAGTAGAATTATGGCAGCCTTGGGTTGCCACCTTTTCTTCAAGCGAAACCTGAACACTCTAGCGACGCGTAGACATTTTTTGGAGTCGTGGCTTATTCATGTTTAAATAGCGCCACCCATTCATATGTAAATATCACAGTCGAGACTGTACAGTGCGGGACCAGTAGCCCCTATATTAATTTCCGTTGCCCCTGTCTGCCCGACATCTTGTGTCCGGGTTTCTGCTGCCATGAAACCCAGACACAGCATTCAAAACCCGAACTGTCCGGGTGAATCCTGGACAGGTGGCAACCCTATGGCAGCCCACTAAAAAATAATGTGCTGCAGCACTTAATTGTATAGCCTCATTTAGATGGGCCGCAGACTCCACCGCCCTCTTAAAAAACCAATTTGCGGTGGATAGCTTTTGACAGGACAGTAAAGCTGCTTGGCATGTGTTTGACACGTGGTTGCTGTGTGGTCCCATTCCCCTCTATAGTTGCATTTGCTGCCAACCATGACATGCATAAAAAAAAGCATCACGACCACAACAATGTATACAGCACTGTCTGGCCGCAATGCTAACATTGTAGCGGGCAGCTGAGGAACAGTAAAACCGCAGATCAACTGCCTGAATGTACCGCCCATGAGCTGCCTCTCTAAACGAGGCCTAAGTGCCCGTGAATTTGCAGTTACCTTTTGGTTCCTCTGCAAAGTCCAAAATAATTTGTTGAACCTGCCAGTGAAGTCCACCTAATGCAGCTTCCCTTGAAGGGTTGATAACATTGCTGCACTGCTCCTGAATTCACAGCAGAATTGCCATTGTCATGTAGCCTATGCCTGCTTGCACTACAATGGAATATAAAAATGTTGCAGGGAGCATTGATATCACTATTGTCACTGCCTGTACCATTTCGGTCAACAGCTGGTCACATCTAGACCCCCCCCACCACTGCTTTCTGGGTTGACTGCACTGTTTCTGGTGCTGAAACTCTCCCACTGTGAGCTGCAGTGTCTGGGAGGGGAAACAAGTGAGACACAAATGAAGGAGGATTTTGTTTACTGAGAGAAGGTAAAGGAGGTTTTTTGTTTACTTTATGAGGCTTGTGCATCACATAGTAACTGTATTTGGTACACGTTTAGACTGCCATACAGCAGCCTATAGTTGTACTAGGTACCAGGCAAATGAAAAAAAGTTATTTTCAATATTTTTTAATCTGCGGATTTCTGTAATGACCTGGTAATCCTCCCATGAAGGTCCTTGTTCCGGCATTTCCTATTATGGGATGGCAACACTCAATTGTGCTTCTGTGCTGTCACGCTTATAAATGGGGCTACAATTAGTGAATACAAATTACACAAGCACCACTGTTGTCACCGTCATAGAAAACACACCCTGAGAAATACCATGCAGCCAATGGAGTGCATGTTGACAGGAAGTGGCTTAAAGTGTCTGCTGGAGATAAGCAACACTGAAATAAAGCAAAAGATACAAAGGTGAAAACAAGTATTTTAATAAAATAAAATGACAATTGTTTTTGGCGCACAGTGCCTTGGAAAGCTATATGCTGTTCATTTAGGGTTTACAACTACTTCAAAAATTATTCTTTACAGAATTGTCATTCTTTTACCCTGATTTTGCACTAGAATAAGAAGTTTAATGTGCCATATTTTGAGAATGTTTGCTGACGGTCTGGCTGTACAATTTAGCATTGTGCATTTTAATGCATGATTGCTAAAAACAGAACTGAACTAGAAATGTAAAATAGCCTTCTTGCAGCTTTGCTTCCTTTTAATATATGTTGCGTTCTTCAGGTTTTTCAATAAATAATCATAGCAGATTAAAGGCTAAACCAGCTAACCCTGCTGAAAGGCACGTAGATACAGTGGCATCAACTGTAGCTCAAAAAATCCTTTAGCAAAGTTATAAACTCATCTTCTCCACAAAGAATTGGAAAAACATTGTTTTGTAAGAAGGGGTACATTGGTCCTTGTATCTTACCTTTCTTTCTTACGTATGTCTTAAAGCCTTGTACCAGTCATTTTTTAAAACCCTTGGGGAGATTCTCCCTCACTTACTGTCCCTGTGACACCTGCATAAGAAATGGAGGAGGGTGTGTTGTCACTTTGACAGAAAGGCATGGACAGCAAGCAAACATTCTCAGAAGTGCAACTTAAAATGAGTTTTTGTCCTATTCTTGGGTCCCTCGCAGCTCTTTTGGTTCCTCTTGCTGACTTCTACATCACTACTGCCTCCTGTAATAGGTGGAGGGCAGGGGGAGGAACCAGTGAGAGCTGCCGGGGGCCCAGAAGATTGACAGGACTAGAAGTGTGGGTTTTAGTGTGGACTTCAGCTGGTGATTTCTCAGGATTGGAGCTGCGTTCAAAAGAGCAGCCAGCAGGAAAGGTAAGTGACTTGGTTTCGTGAAGGACCGTTCTTGCCAGACCAATCTATTAACATTTTATGAGGAAGTCAGTACTAAATTAGACAAAGGAATACTAATAGACGTAGTGTATCTGGACTTTGCTAAAGCATTCAACACAATACCCCTCAAACGTTTAACCCATAAACTAAAGTCTATAGGTCTAGATGAAATTGTATGTACGTGGGTGGAAAATTGGCTGCAAGAACGGATCCCGAGGGTAATGATAAATGGGTAATTCTCTAATTGAGCAAAGGTTGGGAGTGGGGTGCCCCAGGGTTCAGTCCTGGGACCGATCCTGTTCATCTTATACATCTACCACATAGAGATTGGACTAAATAGCTCAATGTCGGTTTTTGGTGGATGACATTAAACATTAAATTCCAAACAGGTTAAATTCACACTACAACAGGACCTAAGCAAAACTGAGGCATGGGCTACAAGATGGTGAATGCAATTTAATGTTGAAAAATGTAAGGTTATGCACATGGGAGCAAAGAACATGTGCGCAAACTGCTACTTGGCGGGTGTTACTTTAGGGAAGTAAGACATAGAAAGAGACCTGGGGGCCCTCATAGACCACAGATTTGGCAATAGTAAGCAATGCCAAACAGCAGCCAGTAAACCTAACAAGATACTTCCACTTTATAAAGCATTGGTTCAGCCTCATCTAGCGAATGCGGTACAGTTCTGGTCGCCAACTCTCAAGAGGGACGTCCTGGAACTGTAGAGAGCTCAGAGAAGGGCTTCGAAATTAATTAAAGAGCTAGAAGGCCTGAGTTATGAAGACCGCATTCAAAATCTAAACTTACTCCCATAGAAAAGAGGCGATTAAGAGGGGACCTTATTGCAGTCCTCAGAATCATCAATGGAGATCACAATATTAGGAACAAACTGTTTAATCCCAAAACTGTATTGGGAACCCGGGGACACAACAAGAGGTTAGAATAGAAGGGGTTCAATCTTAGAATGCGTAAGGGGTATTTCACTGTGAGAGTAGCGAAAGCTTGGAATTCCCTCCCACAAAAAGTGGTATCCGCTGAAGACATTGATAAATTCAAGAACCTTCTGGATGAATTTCTTCTTTCGCAGAATCTACAGGGATATGGGAAGTGTTAGAGCCAGATAAATACAGACACGCACATACACACACAGGTTGAACTGGATGGACCCTGGTCTTTATTCAAACTTGCATGTTACTATGTTGCTTAATTTACAGATATGGCTTTGTCTTAATTACTGTATTGACAGGTCCAATTTAACTTAGGTGAATGAGTAGCACTTCAAGTAAGTATCTCGAATATCCATCTAGGGCATCTGCTTTTTCATCCAGCAGCAACAGAGAGAAGCCAGCAATATTTCCCCAGTTTAGAGCTGCCAAAATATTGAAATATGACTGATGATTGGTTGCAATAGATTGCAGTTTAGATAATGAGTCTGCCATAAGTGACAAATATTTATATACAAAAAACAAAATGTTTTTATTTTTCAACTTTTCACTGTATAAAGTCAGGCAGCTAAAGCTAAATTGAATAGAAAACTCTAGCGAGGAATATGCCTTGGTCTAACCAATTACTGTACGTATTGTTCTTTATGCAGGCATCAGGTGTCCAGGTTGACGATTCTGTTACCCTCTTGTTCCAAGATATGAAGCTGAAGAAGTGTGGAAAAAAAGCCGTTTTCTTTGGCTTCAGCAGTGATGAAAAATACATCGTTGTGCAGGAGGGAAAGGAAATCTTGTCAGATGACTGTGCAAATTTTTTCCCTCGGTTGAAAGCACTCTTCCCTGAAAACAAGTGCTGCTACGCCTTGTTGGATATTCACTATGTTACTGGGGAATCAAAGAAACAAGACCTAATATTTGTAATGTGGTAAGTAATTGGGAACTAACATGCATGCACTATGCATTCTTTGCTATGATGGCCTAAGGTCTGTGTTTAATGTTTAAGCCACCTTAAGTACATATGAATGATTATGTATTTTTTGTGCAAACTTCATGTCTTGATATTTTTGATGTTGAAGGGTTATGACTGCAAATGCTAATTAGAATGCACTGCAAACAGAATACTCTCTCATTTATACCATACCTCCCAACCGTACCGGATTCTACAGGATTGTCCCACATTTTTACCCATATCCTGTGATCCTGTGGACCTTAGGATTATCCTGGTACATCCTACTCAAATCCTGCTGTCCAAAGCTGTAATAATGGGCAGGGGAACCCTGTCGTCCAAACTATACCTATGGAGTTAGAGAAGTAAGCAAATAGCAGGGAAGACAGCCTTAGAGAGTATTCTGACAACAGTATATACTGACCTGAGACTAACATGCTTATCAATGCCGTAGAAGGAATGGAAGGAACACTTTCACACTCAAAAGTATAAATAATGTTGTGTAAACTCATCTGCTATACAAATGCAGGTCACTAGACTGATGGGCAAGTTCATTAACAGGCACTGTGCTATACAGAGCCCTGGTGACATACAGTAAAGTATAAGTACTTTAGCAGGGCTCCTGAGAACACCCATCCATAGAGACTAGTAGAGCACAGTGGTGCCAGAGTCTTACCAAGCCTGCCAAACCTGCCCCCTGTAATTCTTCCTGGCCATACACAATGCAGTCTGTACATTCTGCTAAGCATACGGTAAATGAGATGTAAACCCTCATTGCATGATATTTAGTTTTATCTGTGCACTGTGTATCATAACCAATTTCCATTAATTTTAAATAACATACTTGTTTCCACATTTTGGAAATGTGGAGGAATGTCCAGCAGGCTCCATGTGGGTGTGTGGTAGAGGTAAGGTACTATCTCTGATAAAGAAATCTTTTGTACAAATGGTGGTTTGTACAATCAATGTTTATTATTTGTTACAAATGAAATAGCATTTTACCATATGAATATGTTATTTTGTGGTGTAGCACCTGAAAAGTCTCAATGGTGGAGCTCCGTTAAGCTCACAACTCAAAACATGGCAAAACTAGTGAATTTTCTGATTTAAACACATCAGCTGTGTTCACAGCACAGTGTTATTAACTTGCTAAATGCTTTCACGTATTGCCAAATGCTCTGCAATGCTCATCACATATGATTCAACCTGACTGTGCAACCTCTTCTAGATCTACCAACAATTATGTAGTGCAAGGGCCTGCATGATTGGATACAAATTGATTGATTAGTTTAGGTAGGTCCTACCATTACATAGCATTGGTAAGTTTAATTTGGATGGTACAAAATAGAGAGCTTTATGGGCTTAAAAAGATTGCCTATGGTAATAGGATAGTACACGTAAAAAAGAAAAAGCAAGTTCAGAAATGATGTGCTCCTACCTACAAACCCAGACATTAACATGGCTATGAATAGCCTATGGAGCCTCTATGAATATTCTAATTGCATATGGCCAAGTAAAAGGTTTCTCACACAAGAGAAGTGTACCTCTGCTGAAGCCAAGCAGGCTCAGTTATATAAATATTTAATGCTGTGGGGAATAGAATAGACCAGTATTCATCAACCTTTTTTTAGTCACAGCGCCCTTTAAAATGATGACAAATCTTGAGGCACCCAGTTTAAAATGTAAAAACGGTAATGTAAAAAAAAAAAAATGATGTTCTTCCAAAAATATCTACCAGATTGTTATCCCAGAAAGGGGTCTGGTATTGGTTTTAAGTGATTTTTTTTAAGGGAGGATCCCATGCAAAAAACCCCCCCAATGATGTGGAGTTCCACCTTTTTCCCATTAGAAGCCCCCCCCCATCAAAAGCCCCCTTAAGGCTAGGTTCACACTTAGACGACACCTCCCTTAATGGCACCCCAGTCGCGCCGGGCGGACCGTGCAGTTTCCAGCATTCTGGGTGTCATGCGGTGTAGCGCAGGTGTGAACCTAGCCTCAACAGCATAGTTCCCCTCCTTTCACATCAGAAGTTCCCTTCACATCAAAGCTCTCAGTTCCCCCTTCACATACTACACAATACTCCTCACCACAATGCACCTGCAGCAACAGTGTCTGGTTGAACACTTCTGTCCTCTTCTCAATGCTGGGGGAGGTCCTGGATGTAGCCCGTCCTGGTATAGCATCATGCACTTCCATGGTGCTGATGGGCAGCTCATCTGCACTGAGGAAATGCATGACACTGTGCAAAAATTTGAAGACATGTCTGACAAAACCAGAAGGCACCCCAAGGTGCCATGGCACCCTGGTTGAGAAAGGCTGGAATAGACTATAATAAAAATAACATTTTATTTTCCATAGATTATGATGTCTTCATAGTAGATGCCGTTTAAGTGTTGATGACCATAAATCATTTATATCATTTTGATGATAAGCGTAGAGGCCTAAAACCCTGTTCATAAATCTGAAAATAAGTGGACAAGTCAGCGTTTATTGGAGGACACTGAAAAGGTTTTAGATAACACTTTGAGCAACAGAAGGGGTGACTAGTCAATGTTCTATTGGCTTGTGAATGTTCAACACTGTATTATCCAAGGACTGTGACCCTCATCTCTACCCATGGAAAAAAGTAATGGGCACCGGGACATTGATCACTGGTGTGACCCTAACTTAATAGCAGCTTGACATGTTTGGATTTTATTGAGAAATATTCACTGTACTAAATAACCTTGGAAGTTCAGCTATATTGTCCCAGATTGTTCACTTCTCCTGTCTTCTCCAAACTCTTCACCCTTTTGTGAATAACCCTTTATAACGAGCGAGTGGTAGTCAGCTTAAAGAGTTGCTAGGAGAGTGAAAGGAAAGTAAGCATGAGCTGCTGGGTAGGGGGAGACTAAAGTGAACCTGTTGTTTTGCTCTGCATGGGGAAACCACAGGATAACTATTTAGTTATGCTTGCACATGACATATTGTTTGAACATTGATCTGACCTTCTGACATTTAAATTTTCGGTTATTATTATTTATTAATATATTTTGTTTATCTACAGGGCACCAGAAGATGCACCTATTAAGGAGAAGCTACTATTTGCAAGCTCAAAACCATACTTAAAACAAGCATTCTCAGGTACATGTGGGATAACATCACATTGGATCATAGAATTACATATAAAGCCCAACTGCTGCCAAAACCTTTTTATTTTTACATTGAGTGAGAAAGGGTCAGAACTGTTGACATGTTTTATTGCTGTCTGCAAACCTGTTTGGAAGATTCTGACAAAACAGGAAGTGAAGGAAAATCTACCCACTGTTTATTTTACGTTATTTTACATTAAAGAGAACTGGAAAGAGAATTCCCCAGTTCCTGTCATGTGTCTGGTGTCAGACAGAACAGGAAGTAAGGGGAAATACCCCCAATCACAACAAAGATAGTAATGCGAAAAAAGTGAAAGTGTGTGAGCGTTTATTGCTGTCAACCCAAAAAAAGAAGCCCAAGCTTGGACCAGGGATCTTTGTCCTGAAAGGTTTTGTGCTATATAATCAATTAAGTTTTATAACTAAAATAAACAATGAAACCCGCAATATTCACCACCACCACCATGCACAATATAATGCCCCTAAAATATATACATCCTTTTCATACCTTTCAAGTCCATTATAGTCCTTTATATATTTATAGCAATTAAATAAAATCTCCCTTCTGCAGACTTGCTTAAAATCCTCCCCTTTCTCTCCCCTGTGAAAGCACAGCTCCCATTATGCTTTGGCCAATTACTGAAACCAACGAGAGTGCTGTAACAGAACAGTGATGGCGTTGTGTCCCTGTCCCCTCATTTTACCTGTGCCATGTACAAAGCACAGCCTGTAATGATGCTGAGGGTTTTATACAAAAACAGGCAGCCTGAGGCTGAGTAAATGGGGGGGGGGGGGGGAGGGTTAGGCAGAGCGGCATGGCCACTCTGCTGCACAATGTTTGCAGTGTACCTGCATTATTATAAAATAATAAATAAGTAGAATGCGCTTACATGAAGGTAGCAGATTTTTTTTGTCCATTATATAAGCTGATAATATGATCTCATATTGTTGAATGATTGTGGAAGTGTTAGCTTACCTTGGTAACCAAATTTTTTCTCTGTGTTTAGGAGTGAACAAGCAATGGGAGCTTCACAGCCAAGATGACCTTACTGTCGACCAGCTGGCACAAAAACTTACAAGTGGCAAAATTAAATCCTTGGAAGGTCACCACTTGTAGACAATCATTCAGTGCCAGGACCATAGACAACTTGCAAATGTAGCAGCACTATTTCAAGTGGAACTGAACCCCAAAACTGTAATATATTAAATGAAATGACACATCAACAAATACCACAATGCATATGGTACATAGAAGACTTAGCACAAGTGCAGTATCACACAATATTGCAATGTCAGCTCTCTTTATCCAATCATTTAAAGCCTGTACATATTTATTCACAACAAAAGAGCATTGTGTTTCCATCAGGGCAGATTAAAATATATCTCATTTTGGATAGTTTATGGAATGGTTAAAACCCATCAGGTTATTTTGCCATCTGTGTCTTAGTGGGGAAATTTTCTTTCTCTTCCTCCCTTGTACACAGAACAGGAAGTGAGAGGAAATCTCTTCAAAGTAAAAGAAATTCCCTCTTAAACAGTTATTTGCTCAACTGTCCCAACTAGAAGATTCACCTTTATATATTTTCTAAAGACAACTGAAAATGTTGAGGTTTTTTTGCTCATTTTCTTTACTGGTGAAAATGGAAACCAGGTCAAATATGGAGAGTGAATCTTCCCAGCATAGACACAGAGAGCAATATAAACAAGGGGTTCAACCCCCTCACCAGGCCATCCAAAAACACTTTGGTTCTAGACACACCATTGTCAACAGGACTCAAACAGAAAGTCCGATCATTTTCAGCTGTGATCAGAACAGGAAGCAAGGAGAACTCTTTCAATGGACACAGCTATTCCAATAACAACTGTCTTAGAGGGTATTCTCATAGACAGAGATTATTATTATGATGATATTACAGGATTTATATAACAGTTTGCGCAGAGCTTTACAATATAAGGAAGACATTACAGTTACCATACAATTGAAGACAAGATGATTAAGAGACACATTCATTTCGATGACATTTATTTTTGGGGCTGAGTTTCACTTGGGACAATATGTATAGTAGCTTGCTTTAAACATTTTACTACAGTACAGTTTTTTATATTTTACAAAACTCAGTTATATGTACTAGGAAAGCTTTTAAGTAATGTAAAGCTCTTTGTAATGTGCATTAACTGAAATAACCCGCTGGCAAGAATGGAAATCAATATATGCCCACCGTGCCTCACTGTGGTTGTCAAGTTTAAGAAAGTACATGCCGAAGTGAGACATCCATTGGTTATATACAGTATGACCATTGTGACACATGAAAACCTTTAATAATGATTTAACCCTCTTGACAGCCTTTATACTGGTAAATAGGCCAGTAAAATCATCAACTTTATTAATCATATATATATATTACACTCTGATACCTGTGTTGCAGGCTTCACCGTTGTTGGCTAAGGAATGTTTGTGTAGATAAAGCAATGCCAATTTTTCATTGCTATTCTGAATACTTTTTTGAGTTTGCATATAAGTAAGGAAGCAAGAAAGGTAATAAACTCATTTACAAAGTGGTTCATTTTTTTGTTGCTCTTTCTTACAGTGTAAAATCAGATACATGGACTTTGACATATTAAGCCAATGACAACAATTTTAACCTCTTGCCGTCCGCCCGTAGTAAAAAAACAGACGGACGGCACTGCTACATCTGCGGGTTAGGTTAAAAACAATTGGAGATAATAGCATTAAATGACTATCACTATGATTGTATATATAAGCTTACTTTTTACCAGAATGCCTTGTCATGGCATGGCACAGCTTGATATTAATATATACATTGCCGACAATTTTTCAGCACTCTACATGCATCAAATACATGCTCACTGATGTCCTAACTGTGTTACTGTCTCTAAGATCACGTGTAACAAAAGACTAACACGCGGGTCAACTAAACAAGCCTCCAATGTGTTCTTTTGTAGTAGTACCTCCTAGTATCTGCCCTATTGCTGGTACCTATTTACCTTGATTTCCTTGCAGACATAATTGGGCTAATTTACTAAAGGCAAATAGGCTTTTCACTTTGTAAGGGAATTTTCCCTTAGCTTAAAGAAGACCTCTGAGCATGTACAAAATTAGCCCTTGCAGTGGGGCTACTCCTGCACTGCAAGGGTTAAGTGCTCATTTTTGTCTATGGTCTAAAACAAAAAAGATATACTCACCTGAACCTTGGACCCGCCTGGCTGCTAGACTGGTCTCTCCCTCTTTGCTCCAGGCCAAGGAAACTTAATTCAGCAGATGAAAGACGGATCATGCTTAAGGTGGCCATACACCTGCCGATTATTGTACAGGTGTATGGAAGGCGTGCGAACGTTTCTACTGTACGGTCGCACGTCTTTTGTCTTACGAGCACATTGGAAAACCAGACGAAAATCGTACGATTTTCGGCGGGTTTGTGGCGTGCTTGTAAGACAAATGCCACACGGGCCAGTGTGCACAAGTGCACACTGCCCACTTAGCATTGTAGTCTTTGGAAGCCCTCAGCGGGGCAGGCTTGCGATGATCGCAAGTACGATCTGCCTGTCCAAGAGGGACAGATCGTACAAGCTTTTAATTACCTTACAACCATCGCAAGGTGAAAGTCGTGCGATAGTTGTAAAGTGTATGGCCAGCTTTACTTCCCTTCGACATCAGAAGATGTCCAGCAGTGCCATCAGCACCAAACTGGTGGAAACCATTGGGACCCAGGTACACCCATGTACTGTCTGGAGAAGTCTGACAATGGCCAGTTTAAAAAGCCATACTTCCGACGTGGATACAAGGCTAAGTGACTCAACTATGCACGAAAACATAGGAACTAGGGTGCAGAAAAATGGTAGCAGGTGATCTGGACTGATTAGTCAAAACTTACAATATTTGGCTGTAGCAGAAGGTAGTTTGTTCGCTGAAGGACTGGAGAGCGCCATATTACTACTACATATTGTACTACAAATTGGTTCATATTGATTTCCTTTAATAGGTTTTAGCACCATCTAGCGTTACTATTCAGTAGTTACAGTATATCCTCTGATTGCCATTTTCCTCGATCTACCATGATGTTTACTGGTAAAATATACTAAGATTAAAGCTAAACGGGGAACAGATATAAAAGGCACAAATAAATGCATCTTTCAAGTAGGTAAAAGTGAACTGGACTTTAAATCAGCTTCTTGTAGTCTCCTATAATGCAGCACTCAGGAAGAGCCAATCAGGTGTGCTGCATGCAAATATGCTAGCAAGAAACATGCTGATGGGAGGAGAGAGTGGAGTTAGCAGAAAGAAGACCTCATCAGTCTGCTGCTGTTCCTTTACTATGGGCAGAGCAGTCTCCGCAGAGTATGTCTTAATTCATATTTTATATATTAACCACCTCAGGGGCGGCCGTTGTAAAAAAAACAGCCGGCCGAGAGGTCTCTAGATCTGAGCGGGTGTCTTTAGATGTCCGCTCAGCCACGCCCACCTGCGCTCGTGAGCGGGAAACACCGGCGATTTAAAAACAGGCACCGATGCCTGTTAACATACAAGCTATAGAGCCGGCGGATCGCTTGTATGAGTCATAGCAATAAAGTTAAGTGGGAAAAAAAAAACAAATAGGAAAAAAAATTAAAGTTTCCAAAATAAAATTAAAGTCACACATAAAAAGTGCTATATGGCCTGTGGAAAATAAGAGTTACTCTCTGAGAGGATGATATCAGGGATGCTACCCCTACTCCTACCTTGTACCCCCATTCATGCTCCTACTCCCCAACTCACTGCTCAGTCGCTTTTTACTGCTCGTCCAGAGCATTGACGCTTGATAGAAGCAATCCTCCCTGCTCCCATTGGCTGGCTGGCGCACTGCTCCAGAGGTGCCCTCATTGCTTGGTGGAAAGTCATCTCTGTTTACCTAGCTTTCTCTGTATTGATTGGCCTGGCAGCCACACACCTCCTGACTCTCTTCTACTCTTGATTGTCCGCAGCGCTATGGCGCTCTATTCGAGCATCACAAGCTCAGAGCTCTGAGCTTGTGATAGTGTCCTACAACCTAGCTCCTGAACACTAGACTTGCCTTATGTTTGGATTCCTTGTTACTGACCCTACCCTGACCTCAGATTGTCACTGGATTACACTTTGCTGCCTTCCCTGACCTCAAGACACCTCTGAATTCCGCTTTGTCTGGTGCCTGCTCTGACCTCGGCTTGCTTTTATGCTTTGTTCGCTGCCTGCTTAGATTACTAGAACCCTGTCTTAAGGTCCCCACACACCTTACGATAATCGTACGATAATCGCGGGAAATCCCACGATCGTACGATTATCGTAAGGTGTGTGGAAGCCGTGCGACCTCTACTAATGTAAGGTCGCACGACTTTAAACTTACGGACATGTTCAAAAACCCGCCGAGCATCGTACGATGTTCGGTGGATTTGTGGCATGTCCGTACGATAACAACCGTACGGGCCGGTGTGCGCAAGCGCACACTGCCCGTTCGGCATTGCGGTCATCGGAAGCCCGCCGCTCAGGGGGCGTGGCTTGCGATCATCGCAAGTATGATCTGCCTATGCAACATAGACAGATCGTACATTTTTTTAAGTACCTTACAACCATCGCAAGACAAAAGTCTTGCGATGGTTGTAAGGTGTGTGCCCAGCCTTATGGAGACTCTCCAGTGGTGCTTTGGCTCACACCTGCCACTCCAGAAGATCACAGGTATTCTTTTTTGATACCTACTTTGTTACTTCAAATAGGTGGAAAAGAAGTAAACCCCTTCATCCCTAATATATCTTTGATCATTCTCCAAATTGTATCTATTCTTTGAAGATTCGGGGCAACATCTTAAATATGAAAATACCCTTTCCCTAAAGCCGCCAAACCAGGGGCGGGCGATTCCGACCCTCCGGCTGTTGTGGAACTACAAGTCCCGTAAATCATTGCAAGACTTATAGTTGCAGGAATAGCTCTCAGAGGCATAAGCATGTCGGGAGTTGGCTGAGGTTGTCCCCACACATCTAACAACTGATCCAGAAAATAATTCCCCTTACGCCAAACCACAAAATGTTACAGCTGTGCTGCTAAATAATATATTCAGATTGGAGATGGCTACATTGCCATCATCAACTGGACATTGTAGCTTTTCTATAAATTGGGGGTAGGCATAGAGCTATTCAAACTCTTCTTCCTCTCAGTGGAGTCAGGGTATAGTTTCTGTGG